GTTCTTTCACATTTTCAAAATTTTACGGTCATAGTTTTCCATTAAAAATGATTGTCTTAAAGTCATAGTTTTCTTCAAACAATCTGTTACAAATATGCCGATTTTTCTATTTAAAACGCACATTTTTCCCCATAACGGTGTTTGATTAACATTTCCACTGTGCTAACTCCTATATCCTTTCCCATGAATGTAGAAAATCTCTGATATCCATTTCTCAGATAGAAACCACCAACGAGCTAGTTTCGAGATATCTTAAGCTTGCAACCATAAGTCTTCTCATTTCCTTATATCCTGCTATAGTGTCTTTTTACTCTGTATATTTTGACGTCACACGGTTCTTCAAAATCATATGATCAGCCGGATGCTTCACGAACTCAGAGACGAATTATGATTGTAAATTTTGACTGTTTACATCGAGCTATCGTCTGGTCATTCTAAGTTAGTCTAGAACATGACAAGTTTACTAGTGTCTTTTCGAACTTTACTCTTTCTAAGATCTGCTGCGATTTCACTTTTTTCTATGTCTGTTTTGCGGTCGTTCACGGTTTGAAGAGCAAGTTCGCAATTTGGATCAAAAGTAGAGCGGTGGCAGCGTTGGAGTTTCTCGTTATTGTAGTCTTCATGAGTCCCGGACGAGGTCAATAAGAAAATATCGGTCGTAATTCCGTCAAAAATGATTAATTTTTCGACTGTAAATAGATTCATTATCATGCTATTAATATCCTGTCTATGCAACCATGTGGATATGATCACACCGTGATGCAAGTTGCATCACTTCTAACTCTATGCAATAGAAAAACAGTGAATAATTGGAAAAAAATCTGTTTAGCGGTGCTGAATCTCTCAGAATCTTTCATTTTTTTGGAGAAAACTATTCTTTTCCCCTTCATATCTTGTTGGTAATATCATGATAAAACGCAAGGAGTTAAATTTCAAGGAGCTTGAGGATTTCTCAGAATTCAAGTCTTTCTCGATTGCATAGAGAAAAATTCTTGGAATCTGATTTATTATGTAGTAAATGGCAGAAGAATGGTTAAACGTTATCACTACTCGCACCTTTTATGAACTCAGGCGACTTTCTGTTCATTTATGAATCATGTTTCTTTCCATAGTAGCTAACCGAGTGTTGAGATTTGGGGGAAAACTGATTTAAAGGCTATTGAGAAAACACGTTAGTGAAGGAAGCAAAAGTTCTGCCCTCTTTTTTTGGCATTTTCTTCCCAATGCTTACGTCGATTTTTCAAGGGATTGTTATCATAGCATTCTAGTACCTTTTTGGGATCCAATTTTGATTCCCTCCAGAGAGGCGGCTTCTTGGGAATTTAAAATGTGGTTTCCTGCAAAGTTATCTCGTCGAAGTTTGGTCGTTGAACGGGCAACTAACGGCAAGGTTTCCCAAAAGGGCTGCAGTGACTACGTTAATGGCCATAAGGTTACTACAGCTGGCGAGCATCATCTCCATTGGGTCCGTGCCTGCTGTATACTAAGTCAAACGATTGTTCAGCGTTTGACTTTTTGTGATTCTGAAAGTGGTATGTCTGAATCTTTTCAATAGTAGTTTACTAACTTTTGTCTTGACTCACTTTGCTGCATTTTTTCGCATCAATCTTGGAAAAACTTCATTTGTAGTATCACCCACCTTATAAGGAATTCCCAAAAATGGCCAAATTTTGCTAGTTTAACGGCTTTTTCACTTCAAACACTAACTATTCTAATCGAAAGCAACATTGTTCTTTCTATTGTCACTTGAAAGCTTTCCATTTACTGCCAAATGTTCTTTTTGCGCTTCAGATTTAAGCATTTGCAAGGAAACTCTCCCATGCAACTTACAAAAGCTTAGTGGGAAGTTGCTCTAGAGGTTTTTTATTTACTAAGCTACAAAATTTTTGCTCTTTTTGTTTGAATACTTTCAATCTAGGTTTTTTCCATTTCCGTTTTTGCTTAGTCCATTGTATGGCTGCCATTTATATAAGCGGTCATTATTGCTACATGAATCTCTTTTCGACAGCTTTCTATTTTTAGTTGGAGTTCAGTTTCGTAAACGGCAGCTTGTCTATGCTTAGGAAGATCTTTGTTTGAAGACTGTGAAATTCCGTTATCGTTTCTATCTAGATAGTCAATAGCTTCGTGCAAGTGCATCAACATCTTGTTAGCTGAACATCAGAACGAAAAGGTCCACTTGTGAAGTAACGTTATTGTTTTAGAACTCATGAAGTATGGCTGAGGGGATTTCATAGAATCCAGCTGATGAGGTTACATTTTGCAGAACTTCGCTTTTTGCAAGAACAAGTTGCAGAGAACTCAGAATTTCAGAACGTGTTGCTTCGAAAATCATTTATGAGCTTTTGACTATTTTCTCGAAGTGTCTTATATGATATTTTTTCCCAAAATTTGTTTCTACACCGAGATTCTCTTAAAAAATATTTGTTTTAGTGCGAGTGTGAAGATGCTTTTGTTGACGCACTCATCGCTGCATTCCCAGAGGAATCAAAAACGAAAGGGGTATATACCGAACAAGATCTGAAAAACCGGTTTAAAAAGGTAAGCAGACTT